AATAGCTCCAAAAGACACAACAACACAAAGTAAGATCAATGAAGCCAGGACCAAGTACGAAAAACAGAAAGTCAAGTTTGACAAGCTCAGACAGGATGTGTCTGTCAAGCTCAAATTTCTTGAAGAGAACAAGGTAGGATTTCCATATTGTGTATACTGAATAATACTTCAATATTATGTTCATACATTTTGATGCATACAACTTACAACTGAGAGGGCAAGTTAGCGATTGGTCTGTTGCATGATAGGGCTGACCATGTTAGTGTAGTGGTAAGTAATTGGTCTTTTCCATGATAGGACCAACAAGATGGAGAAGCAGTAATTGACCGTTGATTTTGATAGGACCGAGCTTGAAACATGTTAGTCCCATTCTTGCTTGTGTTCTTCCTTTACTCAAAATACATTGACCTTGGACATTAAGTTGTTGGTCTTAAAAATACTGTTCTTAACAATAATATTAAAAATTGAACAATAATATTAAAAATTGAACAATAATATTAAAAATTGAACAATAATATTAAAAATTGAACAATAATATTAAAAATTGAACAATAATATTAAAAATTTAAACAATAATATAAAAAGTTTAACAATAATTTTAGAAATTTGAACTTGTTGTGTGGACCCTTAAATTGGCTGGTTTTCAATGTAAGATTTCTGTAAATCATTGAATATTAAATTGTTTTAATCTATTTCTGTTTGTACATACCATTACATGGTCATAATATTTTAGTATTGAAACAATGTTTCGAATTTCTTTTCTTTAGGTGAAAGTGATGCATAAGCAGTTGTTATTGTTCCACAATGCCATCTCTGCTTATTTCTCTGGCAACCAACAAGCCTTGGAGGCCACCTTAAAGCAGTTCAGTATCAAGTTACGCCCACCTAGCGATGTTCAGCCATCATTCTTGGAACAGTGAGAACGTGGACAGCGCCCTCAGTCCCAACAATGGTTAGCTACAAAATGATTCTAGCTTTGCTAGTGGTACATCTTGTGGGAACATGATTTTTTTTTTATCAGAACAAATGGCCAAATATCATAGGAGCATTGTATGTTTGTATAGTTATAAAATGATGTGTATAATATCTACCAACAATGATATAACAAAATGAGATCATTACTTGTAGTGGTATCTCATTTAATGTTTCCCTTTTTAAACATAAACTTATGTCAATATACTTGCTTTTACAATTTATAATCCCAAC